TACTAAACTACTAATACTAGAAACTGCTACTGCAATAGAAATCTGGTTGTTCCACCAATTTTTCTGGTTGATCCGTCCAAAAGCCTAGTTTTTACGTCCATTCAATATTAATGAAGAAATCCCTCTTTAAAATACACGATGTATGACGACTTTCACCATGAGAATACTTACCGTATGGTCTTTCCCACCTTGGATTCATCAGTTAGCGATACACATATGTATTTGCACTGGTGTCCCGTACCATTAGCACCTGTATCTAGTAGCCAGTATCCATCAGTAGTATCTTTTGAGATAATTGAATTGGAGTCTTGAAATTTTGTAAGTGCTCCTAGGTCAGAGAGGACGTCTTTTGGGAAGCTCTTAAATTTTAAAGGGGCAAGGACCTCAGGGGTAACGCGGGAGTTTTAGATCACCCTGCATAAGCTTATAAGCCATGATTACAAGACCAGCGCATCTGCACCACTCAGATTTTCCGGTCCAACTCTCTCTACTCTGCCGTGCTAGAGAAAAGCGCCGTATGAACCTTCAGGCGTTGCCAACATTTCTATGTGAAAACACGACTTTCCCGGAAAACTTATGAATATTTCGCTTTCAATTTTACGGATAATTTTGTTCGGAATTTCACCATAAGTTCTTACAAATTCCAGGGGAAAATTTTAATACACTCTCTTAAAAATAAACATATAAGTGAAGGAAATTTGGCTTCTCTCCATGATTATAAGACCATGCGATCAGCGTAACTGCCCCACTCAGCTTTTCCAGCCCAATTCTCTCTACTCTGCTGTGCTATAGAGAAAAGCGCCGTATGAACCTTATGAATATTTCACTTCCAATTTTACGGACATTTTTGTACGCAATTCTATGCAAAGTTCCTGAAAATTTCCAGGGAAAATATTCATAAATTTCCTCAAAAATAAACATTTTACTGGGGGAAATTTGGCAACGCTCGAGTGTTCATACGGCGTTTTGCCTCGGCACGGCAGTACTGTAAAATTTGCCTCCTGGGACCAAGTTCCCTTTTCCCGCGGATGGTGACAAGGATGCACTTTGTAGGGTAACGTGCCGGGGACGCAGGCGCATGCGCACGGAGCATCTCAGTCGTAACTCAGCGCAGGTTTCAGTGTCGCCTCGCACTCGCGCGGTCTCCATCTCGAGTCTCTCGCCTCTCGCAAATGTAATAAATCTCACTCTCCGACTTCACGCGAACTCTCTGCAACGTGACGAAACCGCTTGGCAACGTTGTCAAACGTGAAAAATTCTTAGGAAACTCGCACTGAAAAAAAAAGTTACGGGCTATAGAGACATACTGCCCGTTCCGGGCCCAGAGGCCGAAAATGCCGGGCGCTGGAGTCGTAACTTCGATTGCTCCGGGTGCTATGCCCGGAACTTTCGGTCTCTGAGCCCGGGACGCGGACGGTATAAGTACACGGAGAGAAAACCTCGTGCGTGGGCCCCGAAGTTTAGGTCATATGGATCTCTGAAGTTTTCGGATTGAGCATCTGAACACTTTAAATCTGGCTGTGGAGGGTCGGATCACACATTGGAAGCTCCAGTTCCTACATCTGAAGTACTTTAGATGTGAGAACCGAAGTTTTTCGGATGTGAGAATCGAAGTCGTTTGGATGCGAAAACCGACGTACTTCAGATGTGAGAACTGAAGTTTCAGGTGTGTGATCCAAACCTCAGCAGCTGGGCTTAATGTGTTCAGATATGCTCAATCCGAAAACTTTAGAGATCCATATGACCTAAACTTCGGGGCCCACGCACGAAGTTTTTTTCTCCGGGTTTGCATCAAATGTTGTCAGTGCGAAGCAACCCCATAAAACTTCGTTCCTCAGACAACTGTCTCTCATAGAATTTCTCCTAAATGTTGTTTTTCATAAATGTTAAATGTTGTGTTTCATAAATGTTTAATGTTGTGTTTCACTCACGCGACGATTCTCAGGAAACAGCAAGCATTAATGAACCGGGCGCGACTCAAAAGCCCAGCCTGCTTCAATTTTCTTTCAAAACTTGGTTCCAGTCCTAGTTCCCAGGGCCTAGATTCGAAGAGGCCCAAAAGCGCGGTCTTACGGTCCATTGCATCAGCCAAATTAATTAGAGACAAGTTAATTACGGCCTAAACAAAACGCCACAGCTAGGACAGACCCGGAGGAATTTTTCCATCAGAGTCCGTTGCCGGCTCTCTCGATCAAATCATCTATTTCCGGTCCAACCGGACGGAAAATCAAAATAATTCGGCAACAGCGCCGTGAGCCATTCACCGATGAGCCGGCTCATTTAAATTAGGTAGGAGTCGAGTGTCGATAGCCCCGACACCAAATTTGGCGGGAAATTTGGAGATGCGGGATATAACCCCGCCAAATTTGGCAACGCCCGTCGATATCCCCGAGTGAACCAATTAGAAGCTGTCCGAACAGGAGAGGGAGGAGATTAGGGAGATATAGAGTGTGCATGTAAGTGAGTGAAAACGGGTCGTTTTAAGGAACAACGAAATAACAATGTTTATCCATTAGTATGAGTAGTATGTATTAGTACCGTCCGTCTCCGTATGAGTGTGTAAAAGCGTCGATTAAGTTGATCCATTGGGGCTTAAATGGACGCACAGGGTGCCCCGAAAGTTATTCGAGGTTCATGCTGTCTTCAGTCGAAGTGTTCCCGCCCCGTATCGACGATCAGCGTCCCGTATGCACAGTCGTTCCTGAAACAGCTCCTTACCTCAGAGAGCTCTATATGGTTCACAATGTCATTAAAGGTGATTCGTCTTAGGTTCATGGCGTGGATGATCCGGCGTGCAATACATCGCATTGAAGAAGTAAAAAATTTGGTAGATTTTAACTGTTCAGCAATGAAAAAAAAATGGAAAAAAGAAGAAGAAAAAAAATGTTATCAGCCCTTGCAAATGGGCCTAAAGATTCATTATCAATCAAAACATTTGCAAAATTTAGAGAAACAAGCCAAGATTCCTTTTGAAAACAAAAACGTCACATTCGACGTAGAGATCGATCATAAAATTGAATGCAACGTTTTTCTTCACAGAAGACACCGTCTATGACCTCCCTTAATTTTGCGAATTTTATATAGTTGAGAATGAACTTTTCGCCTCATGTGCAAGAGCTATCATACTTCGTTTGCCTTTAAAGTAAAAATCTTCCGAAAACTCAAAAAATGGGTATATCTCCACTGCTATCCTTAAAACTGACCGATCCATTCCCATTATTTAAAAAGAAAAACTAAAAAATCCCTTTGAAATTTTATGTGAAATGTTTTAAACGAGATAGGAAAATCTGCAATCAATGTCAAGAAAAGTCGTCAGTTTTCTGCTGAAGTGACCCATTTACCGGATATCGTAACCTTCCAGCTAAAGTATCACAAGCACCATGCGACGTTGGAAAATCCGCCGCCATTTCATTTTTTCACAGAGAAATTGTTGGTTGAATCTGTTCGAAAATTTCACTGAATTTTATCGGCAGCACAAAGAAAATTCAGAAAAACTTTTTGACAGTTTTTTTGAAAAATTTCTCTGTAAAAAAGAAAATGGCGGCGGAAATTTTTAAACGTCGCATGGCGCTTGCTTGTGGCATTTTGGCCGGAAGGAGGCAATATTTGCATTTTTGTTTTACTTTAGCCGTCTATAAAAAAATCCATTTCACTTCATAAAGTTTTTTTTTTTTTTTTTTTTTTTTTTTTTTTTATGGGAAGGGGGGCACGCTAAGGCTAAAAAGACGACCCATAAGTTGTGACTCGGATCCGCGGATTGCAACAATAAGGGCAATTAGGAAGGCGCACAGCCGTGATTCACAATACCGTCTAAGATCATTCGAGCACTTGGGCCCGAGGTCAAGCTCCAGCTCCGCACAACTGGGCAAAAACCACTTAAGTCGCACTGGGCATCCGATATGGATACGCGTATTTTATTCCGTATCCATGTGCTAAGGCGCACTTCTCCGATTCACCACCACGCCAGTACTTTATCGACGAGTCCCGTAATCAATCACAACCTCTAATTGTTCTGGTCCGGCCTCAGCCTCTCAAAATATTGCGTCCAGTGGCGTGGCGTGAATGATCGATTATCGATATTTCCCCATTTGAGTCCGTGGTAAAGAATCGATTATTGAGGTGTTCGCTGCGAACACGTTGTTAATCGATCCTTTCTACACGTTTAAATGGCAGATCAATCGATACATCGCAATGCACGACGCGCCACTGATTGCGTCCGCCCGCGCCCCCGCCACACTTGCCAGCGTTGCCATCCTATCAAAAATACTCTTTTCTCCAGCCAGTGCTCCCATTCCATGACCTTCAAAAGTTTCGGGATTCCTTTTAAATGTTTTCGAAAGATCCGAGAAAGTTCCTGGAAATGCAAAAGGCCCGAAACATTTCAGAAATTTCATGGGTTACGAGAAAATTTCAGGAAAATCTCAAAAGTTCCGGAATTCGGAACCAGCTCCGGGAAATGGGTGCACTGTCTTCAGCTGTACCTGAATTCGAGAGCTCTTGGGTCACATATGAACCGTATTTATTGAAATTGATAGACAATGAAGACAAAGAGAAAATAGAGCGATTTTATCGGTTGAAATGGGTAGTTTTTTTAGGCTAAGGGGAAGTATGATGGACTTACTAAAAGTATCCCCATGGGTTGCGTTCGTGAGTCTATTTCTTTCTCCTTTGTCCATTGCAACCACCCGCCTCCACCAATAGGATCGCATCATTTTCCTTTGTATCCTTTGTCCGTAGCTTTGTCTACTAATTAAAATACTTAACCCACAGCTCGATTACAGTGTCTTCAAAATGCGTCGTTTCTCTGATGAAAGAACATATCTCTAGTCCAAGGTTGCAAAATTTACCGACCTTTTTCTCTTTTTCTCACGAAAATGATAGAGACATTTTCGTGAAAATTCCAGGGTCTCCAGAACATATTGTGGTAAGTCTCTAGTTATTTGTGATGTAGAAGATAGTTCGACGGACTGTTAATCGTGATTTTGTTTTGATTGTTGCAGGGGTATAGCGAAGGCTGGTGAACCAAATAATCTAGTGCCGATGTCTCACGGCGTTTTATACATGGACCCGGTGGTCCACTCTACTTTGCGGCGGAAGCAAAGGCGGCTCGTTCGCGAGAACCCGGGGGTTCTCACCGCCGTCTCGAAGGGTGCTAATCTCGCCATTACGGAGTGCCAACATCAGTTCAAGAACCGACGATGGAACTGTTCCACCACTAACTTCCTCAGAGGGAAGAATCTTTTCGGGAAAATTGTCGACAAAGGTAAGCACACTCTCGAATCATTCACACCCCGTCGTCTCTCGGACGAAAGAACGTAACTCCAATCCAAGGTTGCAAAATTGACGAAAACAATTTGACTTTTTACGAGGATGTACATGTGCAATTTTAGTCCAAAATGTGTCCGTTTTTGCACGAGATCAGATGAAAAATCTCTTTGAAATTTTCAGTTGGAAATGCTGTAAATTCCTTTACTAACATTGCGATTTTCGAGAGGAAATATGGCATCATTGAAATATTTTATATATTATATAGTTACTATAAAATCGTTGCAAAATTGATTATAACAATTCTATTTTTTACAAGAATGGACTTTAGCAATTTTTTTCCAAAATTATTCTGACTTGCATGCGATAAGAAGATAAATCGGTGCAATTTGCAGTTAGAAATGCCCAGGATTATCCTGATAAAAATTCAATATGGGAGGGAAACTTTGGCGACATTGGAATGTACGGTAGACTCTGGATTATCCGGCTTCTGGATTATCCGGATCGATTTTGCAACCATGTAACTGCATACGCATTCCGATAAGTGAGCGGTTCCGCGGAGAAGCGGTCGCAAGGCATATTGGCGCCTGCAAGGCTGAAGGAATACTTCGCGCATTGCGCCAAACAGTGAGGTCAGCGTGGAACGCATTAGCGCCTACTAGATTGCATAAATACTTCTCGCATTACGCCAAACGCAGTGCAGTCGGTTAGTTAGCCTAAAACGCACATTAGCGGCTACAAGACTGTATGAATACTTCACGCATTGCGCGCTTCAATCGTTGTATTGTAATTTATCGTTGTCGGCTACCATTCACAATCACCATTGAGTCGTTCAATTTGGCATTAACCTTTTAAATTCGTGTTGGTATGTACATGATGTACACATAATAAGAATACTGTGGTGTTGGTTGGTGGTGTTTGTGTTTACTATTACTATCCGGATTTTTTTTTATCCGGATCGGGCCCGGCACCAATTAATCCGGATAATCCAGAGTCTACTGTAGTTAAGTTCTTTGGCGAGGGGAACGACAATTTCAGACTGAAGAAATTCTGACTGAAGAACTCCTAATTAAACATATAATACATCTCCTGTCGTAGGGCATGCAGACGGAAAACGGATCCGAGCCCTAAAAAATCTCTCACTCATTAAGTTTCCAGCGTTATTTATACATCCATTTGATTTCGGTCCGACAATAAGACGTATTTGTCTTACTATCTGACGACAAACTGATTACGGCGAGTCGTGTTTACGATTCAAACCGACTAAATAAATCCAGCCTTTACATTGTCAGTAGCTTATGATCTGAAGATCGAGAACCTTCTTCAAAGCAAAGAAGCAGAAAAAAGATGACTTGTATACTCAAGGATCCGAAGTATATTCTAGGATCCGATCCGTGAACTGTTTGAATAGGAATCCGACTGTGTCAACGATACGTGTGCGTATTTCCTTTCATCCCCTTTAATTCGTCTCCAAACATGAGCATATTCTCACATTGACGCCGGCGCTTTCGGGACAAGTGTGTGGTGTAGACACCAAAAAGTCAACTAAAATTGAATGAAAGTATCGAATATAAGCGGCGCAACAAAATCAAATCGAATCTGATTGTTGAAACAAAGACACAAAAGGATGCGCGTCGGTGAGAAATGGAGGAGGCATGACTGTGCAAATACGGCGACAAGCCTTGCTTCCACTCTCAAAATGGAAGCTCAGAAAATATCTATACATGTCGAAATGGGACATAACCTTCAAGCATACAAATCGATCGGCCATATCGATTTTAACTCGATCCATTCCAATCTCTCGTTCCAAACGGTGGCGTGGCGCGCTTTGCGATAAATCGATCAATCAGGAAGTAACTCAATTTGGAGCGCCTTCATTTTCCGCGATACTCTACGCGCTGTCACGGAGTTAGTTTAGTTGCCTATCCGACCCAAACTGAATCAAGGCCTCGAGGCTTGCCTCAATTTTAAGTGTACACGCTCTCCTGCACATACCGGTTAAAACCATGTTTTCACGGGTCAATTAAATGCAAAATGCAAACTCCAATCTTCTCTTTTTTCTCTAAATTTCATGCATTTGTATCCATTAATGGCTTGCGAATTACCGGTGGTCACCAATCTGGTGTGTTTAGAAAGAACGTCGTGTGAGCATTCGGGTGTTGCCAGATTGCATCCGATACAATACAAATTTTCCAGACAACTTGCAAATACTCTCCTTTGTACTTTTCAGAGAACATAAGTTTATAAAAGATCTAAAATATCTGCAAAATTTCGAGGGAGCATCCTCGTAGAGAGCGTTAAAATTGAATATTTAGAGGAGAAAATTTGGCAACATTCAATTTGTTTTCGAGAACGGTAGTAATATCCCACGACATATCGAAGGATCGATTTTAATTTCAAGAAAGGAATCGAGGTCCACGCGAGAATCTGCGACAAGCGATTTGGATGAAAACCGTCGGGTTTTGGCCCGGAGAATGTCACCAGTGAGAATCAACAAAGGTGACACTTGTAAACAGATCCGGTCGCAGTTGACGCTCGCCCTCGACAAACAGCCAGGGATCTCGATAGTATAGGGATCAAATCAAACACCGCTTATTCGTCGGGGTTGAGATTTAGATCCGTGTTTGGGTCATCTCCAGTCAAGTACTACCACTTCCCCTGAGAAGGGTCCTGCTCAGCTGCCGGTATCTTATCCTTCGGTTGAGGCCACAAGTGAGTTATTGAATGACTACAACATAGGGTCGTGTTCATAGTCTTTCTTTGAGCAGCTCCTTCCCTTAAGAGGCCCCATAAGGGTCACATTCTTGATATAGCACCATTAAAAGAACAATTTTTGCAAAACTCGAGTATTTAGCAGAATAACTTTTAAAGCGGGTCCTGAAAATGAAATACAATTAATTTTTTGTTGCAAAAGGTATAAAATGCGAAATAAAATAATTTGCGAGTTTTGTAAAGTTTAAGGTAGGCTCGCACCTACCTTAAAGTTTATCAAATTCATGGACTTTCCTCATTGATGTCAGGTTGAGCTGAAATATCAGCATTTTTCCCTATTTAATCTACATAAACTATACACATTTTATCGCGCAACTTGGCAACCTTGACTATCATCTCCGCATTTTGTACTTTTTTAAGTAGCGAATCATAGCAGCCCTTGCAACTTTTTACACTTGTTGCATGCACATCCGAAAATTGAAGGCCCTAGCTCTCTACAGGCCAATTCCTGGATGCAACTATTCGTGCGCAATACCTGTTCGTGTTGCATACCTCAAGAATTGAAGGAGCTCTGCCTTTCTCAGTAGAGACCCCGCCTTAAAAATCTAAGCGATACAATCCAACGAAGCAAAAAATATATTCGAAGGTTAACACTTATTGTTCACCCCATGATGATTTGATGAGCAACGCTGAACAAAAAAGCAAACAAAATTTGCCCAATGACGGCTGATGATAGCAGTTTGCTAAGCGAGTTTTCGCAGATTAAGTTAGGATTGTAGAACCGATTTCTCAACCCTTCCAGTAACTTTGACACTAAAGGGAAGATCGCAGTGCGGAGTCCACGAATTGCATCGTCTCTGATAGTAAATACCATTAATTTACAATAAAAAATGATAAAATCGGCGCAACGCTGTCGCACTAATCCGTCGCTGATGAGTAGCTAATCGAGCGATCAAGTTCATCGAGCAACGAGGCGCAAGAACGAAGCTCGAAGGGAGAAAAGGGAGTTAAGTAACCGACTTACTTAACTGTTATCCGATCGCTTTGATTCACAAGATTTCTTCAAATGCCCGGCTTCATTGACAAAGAATGCGGTCGGCATGGGCACTTGCCAAATTTCGACTCCCATCGCTGCCTTCGTTATTTCGACTCGAACCGTCAATTTGTTTCTCTCTCCTTTTTTTCTGGGAAAACGGAGGGATTCGTGACACTAATCTGAATGATGGGCGTCGGGGCTCGGCGTCCAGCAGAACGTCAGGAAAAGCTGAGTTATATTTTCGTCTGGAGAGCTGAAGAATTTTGAGCATCCGACGATGAACTTCATTGACCCGGCTCGATACAAAAGGATTCGACAGCCGGGGCAACCGTACCGGGATCCGCTTGAGACCGGTGACAAATTTATGGGCACCACTAAATCAAGTGAAAGTGACGTAATGCCGGGAGTGACCGTGGAGAGCAGCTTTGCCAAAACGCTCCTTTTACCAAGTGGAAAGTGGAAATTTGCCATCAGCATGCACTGGAATAAAAAAACACATTGGATCTAGAGTCCAGAGTCTTAAAAAAATCGACAAGAAAAATACTCTTGACTCAATCAGATTTAAGCTTAAATTCAAGAACCAAGCCTCTTAATTTAAGCGGATTTCCTTTTGATTTAAGCTTAAATCTGATTGAATCAAGAGTCCTTTTTCTTGTCAATGTTTTCAAGAGTCTGGACTCTAGATCCAATGTGTTTTTTTTTCCAGTGTGGAGAAAAAGACTTTCAGCCGAGAGCTGAAGGTTGAAATTGACGGGCAAAGCTATAGACAAAGAAGACGTAGGGAGTATGGAGCGATCCTATTGGTAAAAATGGTTGGTTCCTACAGACAGAGGGAGAAAACGATGGACTAACTATTGGGTCTCTCGTTGGTTGTCGTCGGTCAGTCTATTATCTACCTTCTTTGTCCATTGCAACCACTCGCTTATACCGACAGGATCCCTTCATATCCCTTTTGCCTTCTTTGTCTATTAATTTGTCCATCAATATTCACAATCAGTCCACTGGTCTGAATGAAACGGAAAGAAACCCTCGTGAAACTGAAAACCTCACCCAAGTTTAAGTCGGGTGACTTTTGGACAGGTGAAGTGATGTCAGCTAAAATTTATGTATGACATCCGCTTGATTATTCAGGTGACATCACTTTCTTTCAATGAACGAAAAAAGGTGTCGCACATAAGCGGATCCGGGGGAGGGGCGTAGCGAAGGGGGCATTCGCCTCCTCCGTTCGCTCGAAAAGTAGGAGTAAAAAA